CGCGGTTTATATTGAGGTGAGGTGGGTGAGGTGGGGTGAGGTGGGTGAGGTGAGTGGTGAGGTGGGGTGAGGTGGGGGTGAGGATAGAGTGAGGTGGGTGAGGATGGGGTGAGGGTGAGAGGTGGGTGAGGTGGGGGGTGAGGTGGGGAGGTGGGTGAGGTTGGTGGTGAGGAGGTGAGATAATGTTATATGGAGGATTAGGTCAGGAAGTCAGTCAGTCAGTTAGTTAGTTAATCGGTCAATCAGTCAGTCAGTCAGCCAGTTATTCAGTCAGTCCAATTAATAGTCAGGGTATATTTCTCAGTACCAACAATAACTTCTACCATTACCAACAATATTTCTCACCATTACCAACAATATTTCTCACCATTACAACAATATTTCTCACCATACCAACAATATTTCACCATACTATATTTCTCTATTAACAATATTTCTCACCAATACAAACAATATTTCTCACATTACTAACAATATTTCTCACCATTACTAACAATATTTTTCAAACACAAAAACAGATATTAGGTCGATAACTTAGGAGGTAAACGGTAGAAATTTCTTATTGTGGTAGTGATGATTTTATCTAAATTGCCTCTTGAAACCTGTTTATGACACGCCGTAAAGACAGGAAGAAATTTTATCAGAACTTTTAATCTTTTGTCTCTGAACTTTTTTAGAGATAATTTAGTATTATTTACAATGTTAATTTATGGTCTTTAGTTTATTTTGTCTTTGTTTGTGTGAGTAACTGTTGATAATCGTCCTCTTAAACCTTAAACCATCGTTCTCTAAAACCTTAAACCATCGTCTTCTAAAGCAAACCATCGTCCTCTAAACCTTAAACCATCGTCCTCTAAACCTTAAACCATCGTTCTCTAAAACCTTAAACCATCGTTCTCTAAAACCTTAAACCATCGTCCTCTAAAACCTTAAACCATGTTCTCTAAAACCTTAAACCATCGTCTCTAAACCGTTAACCATCGTCTTCTAAACCTTAAACCATCGTCTTCTAAACCTTATACCATCGTCCTCTAAACTTAAACCATCGTCTTCTAAGCCTAAAACCATCGTCTTCTAAACCTTAAACCATCGTCTTCTAAACATTAAACCATCGTCTTCTAAACCTTATACCATCCTCCTCTAATCGTAAACCATCGTCCTCTAAAACCTTAAACCCTGTTCTCTAAACCTTAAACCACCGTTCTCTAAACCTTAAACCATCGTCCTCTAAACCTTAAACCATCGTCTTCTAAGCCTAAAACCATCGTCTTCTAAACCTTAAACCACCGTCCTCTAAACCCTAAACCATCGTCTTCTAAGCCTAAAACCATCGTCTTCTAAACCTTAAACCATCGTCTTCTAAGCCTAAACCATCGTTCTCTTAAAGGATTAATCAACAACGAAAAAATCTGGCAGTAACGATTTCTTCTGTCGATTTCTTTTCCGTTTTTTCTTATCCTGGATGCAGGTAACTGAAAGGTGTAAGGGAGGAGAGGGTAGGAGGAAGAGTAGGAGGAGGAGGAAAGTAGGAGAGGGAGGAGGAGAAAGAAATGGGAGGAAAAAGTAAGAATAATAGGAAGAGTAAGAGGAAGGCTAAGAGGAGGTGTAGGCATAGTCCCACCACCACGACAAGAGGAGGACCCGGGTTGAGCGTGAGACAGCCTCCCTCAGTCACCCTGACACAGACGCAGTAACACTCTCTCTCTGCTACACGCCTCTCAGACAGTACTCCCCTCTCGTAAACTTTACCCTTGAAACTTTATAAACTCTCAAAGTATTATTTAAGTAAGAACTATGTGATTAATAATTGTTGATACTTTTTTTTTAATAATAATTTATCCGGTGAAGAAATTTTCAAACTATTTATTACCGATATTATGATAGTTTGGTAAATAATGTAAAACCTGAATGAGTTGAACTGGAAATCGCTCATTAGTGGAAGTTTATTAAGTGAACTGTATAGATGATTTAGTTATTATTAAGTTATCAAGGACAAGTTACTGGTGTGGAGACTTGTGTGAAGTTACCGGTGAAGTTATACAGACGTTTGGGGAGGTTTGAGTATTTGGGGTGTGTGGAAAGTTTGTGTTTGTTGTCATAGTGATGTTGGTGTGTGTGTGTGTGTGTGTGTGTGTGTGTGGTGTGTGTGTGTGTGTGTGTGTGTGTGTGTGTGTGTGTGTGTGTGTGTGTGTGTGGTGTGTGTGTGTGTGTGTTTGGTGTGTGTGTGTGGTGTGTGTGTTTGTGTGTGTGTGTGTGTGTTTGTGTGTGTGTGTGGTGTGTGTGTGTGTGTGTGTGTGTGTGTGTGTGTGTGTGTGGTGTGTGTGTGTGTGTGTGTGTGTATGTGTGGTGAGTGGTGAGTGTGTGTGTGTCCATTTAAGTATATGTATCACTGAATATGTGTCCGTATGTATTAGTTATTTCTCCCATGATGAATTAAATAGTTAAACAAAACACACAAACACACACACACATCTACCCCAAATTCATCCCCAACAAAATATTATCATCATATAACACCTACCCTCCACCTCCCCCTCCCCTTCCCCCTCCCCCTTCCCTCCCCTCCCTCTACCAACTTTAACTCATTTTAAGAGTTAGTGCGTGATGAAGACTCAAGCCTCCCCTAATCACTGTGAAAAATAAGATTAGATTAGCAATATGTCATGTCCACTGTATTACCGGTACATCCCCATTAAATGACTGTATTTTAGGCGTGACAGGACAACAGTCTTTTTTTTTAGTTTTTTGTAGATTTTGTGTGTGTGTGTGTGTGTGTGTGTGTGTGTGTGTGTGTGTGTGTGTGTGTGTGTGTGTGTGTGTGTGTGTGTGTGTGTGTGTGTGTGTGTGTGATGGGTTTGGTTGGGATATAAATTGGTATTTGTAGTTAGTTTTTGGGGGTTAGGTTAGGTTTGGTTTTGTTAGGTTAGGTTAGAGTAGAATGAATTAGTCTAGATTAGGTTAGATTAGTCAAATTAGCCATCCTCTAAGTATTTAACTCTCCGTAATGATTACCTAGTCGTTATGCATAATTTTTAATGGTTCATAATGACAACAAAAATATCTACATTTCACTTCATAATTTTCAACTCAGATCTGACACACATATGAAGACCCAATTACATTTATAACGTAGAAAATAAAACAAATGAACCAATAATAATTTATATTTAACATTATATACAAATTAATATAGAGAAATAGTGAATAAAAATTAACCCAGGTATATATTAGCGTTTAAAAGGTGTTTATGCGGTAATTAATATACAGGTGTGCTAATTTGCATACACTTGGGGTGTTTTGTGTTTATATGGGGCCAAAGTATGATTGTTTGTTTGTTTGTGTTTTAAGTTCGGTTCTCTATTTACAAAGGTTGGTACTCTATTGACTAAGCGGTTCTCTAACAAAGCTTGGTTCTCTATTGACAAAAGCTTGGTTCTCTATTAACAAAGCTTGGTTCTCTATTGACAAAGCTTGGTTCTCTATTGACAAAGCTTGGTTCTTCTCTTCTCCAAGCCCCGTTTCTGTTATTCAATTTATTTACATTTATTCTACTCTTCTTTATTTTATTTCCTTGGTTTTATTCCATTATCTTACCTTTATTCTCTTCCTTTTGTTTATTACATTTTTTCTCATTTCTTTATTTTTTTATCTTAATTTCTCACTTTTATTCTATTTTCTTGTTAACATACATACATACATACATACATACATACATACATACATACATACATACATACATAGGTAGGCTGGTTGGTAGGTTGGTAAACAGACAGACAGACAGACAGACAGAAAAAGAGACACAGACAGACAGACAGGACATATATAGAGTTGTCAAGTTAATCTGTGTTTTCAGACCGGTAATATCCCGCTGTTTTATTTCAGGATTTTTTATTTATTTCCGGTATTACTGTCATCTAAGACACTTAATATCCTGTGATAAAGCCAAGTGTAATATGACAGACAGACAGAGAGGGAGGGAGAGACAGACAGACAGACAGACACACAGAGAGGGAGGGAGAGACAGACAGACAGACAGACAGGTCAGACAGACAGAGAGGGAGGGAGAGACAGACAGACAGACAGACAGGTCAGACAGACAGAGAGGGAGGGAGAGACAGACAGACAGACAGACACACAGAGAGGGAGGGAGAGACAGACAGACAGACAGACAGACAGGTCAGACAGATAGACAAACAGAAAACTAATCCTTTGATGACGTAAAATTGTCATTATATTCGATGGTATGTATGTATGTATGTATGTATGTATGTATGTATGTATGTATGTATGTATGTATGTATGTATGTATGTATGTATGTATGTATGTATGTTTGTATGTTTACTAACTACACATCCAGTAGTTATGTTGTATTCTAGGTGACATATAAGACAAATAAACACTCAATTTAATAGCAATTTAATAGCTACTAGTCAATCCCTTGGTTGACATGAACTAATAGTAACAATGGTGGTGTAATATAGTGCCATCGGGGATCACATTTAGTAGTGTCCGTGTGTGTGTGTGTCAGGACCTGTGTTGTATCTGACTAATGCTTTCACGAGTGACGGGGGTGTAAATGGTTCTGTTTTTGATTGATTTATGGTGATTCTGATCTATTTTGACGATATACTACCTCTACTACTATTATTACTACTGCTGCTACTATTATTATTACTACTACTATTTGTATGCGTTATCTTATTCATTAATTTATCCATCTATCTTTTTTATCATTCTCTCTCTCACACACTGACACACTGACACACAATTCAAAACTTTAATCTCAGCTTTTCATCAAAATATACATATGATCCCACAAAAATTGATATACCATTACATTAAACTTCGTGATATGAAATATTTATCATTCACAACTGTGTGTGTGTGTGTGTGTGTGTGTGTGAACTGCTTTACATACTGTATTAGTTCATTAACGGTCTATGTTAAATAGTATAAAAGACTTGATAGATCATTAGAATAAAAATGTAAAAAAATAGACAGAATATTTTCAAGCGCACAAGGCTCCCACAGCACTAGTCAGCCCCCTCCCCCCAGCACGCCGGGACCCACACCCCACTGAGAGTTGTCCGTCTGCTGTATAACACAACGACACAGGGAACAGTTTACTCGATGTTGCTCCTCTAACAAGGTGATATACGTCTCCTTCACCTCGTTACCTGACGAAGGAAGTGATGTGTGTTGTGGCTGTTGGTGTTTTTTGGCGAATTACCTAAACGATCTTAAGTGTGAGAGGTCATTCACCGAGTTAACTCAATCTCGATACTTTTCTCGCCCTCACCTGACGAAGGTGAGGTGGTGGGTGTGATCCTCCTTCGTCAGTAGTGACTTGAGGTGTCTGGACAAGTGGTGAACATTGGTGGTGTCAGAGAAGTACTACAGGGACGCCCTTACCATGGACCCCGGCAAGATCTTCCAAATTATTACCAACAGTACGCTGCTGGGTGAGTACACAGCCTGCCTCTCTGTCTCCATGTTGTGTATAGTGGCGACCTGTGGTGTAATGGTCAACGTGCTCGCCTCACAAGTGTGTGGTCCCGGGTTCGATCTCCGGGCGGGGTGAAACTATGGGCAAGTTTCTTTACGCCATTTGCCTCTGTCTACCCAGCAGTAATTGGGAACCTGGATGTTAATCGATTTGTGGATCGTGTTCCCGGGTAATGGTTAGCCAGTGCAGTTGGCGAGTTGTCCGGTCTTCTCGGACTATTCCTTGACACCGGGTCATGCAGCTCGTTAACTCAGGGTGTGGCTGTTGTGTTGGCGACAGCTTCTACACCTTAAACAAATTCACGCCTAGGTGGCCCTTGGGTCGGCCATCCCCGTACACGAGGGGCAACCATTATTATTATTATTATTATTATTATTATTATATGTAGTACGTTTAATATAGTCATTATATTATCAATTTATACGCTATATTCATGACATATTATGATACATACCCACGGACAAAAAGTTAATTCACATGCACATTCGAAACAGTACCGAACCCAAATGAAACAATCCCGTGCTATAAATGGTTCGGCCAGCAGTTCGGAGATTCATCAGAGTCTCACAAATATAAATACCTTTGTTCATGTCCGTATACCGTGACGTAAAATATATCACAACATAATCCGCTTCATTACCTGGAACACAGTACTAGTATTATCATACATATTCAAATAACATACGACTAATTCTGAATATTACGCGACTGTTATCGTTAGAATAAAAAAATAAAAAAAATAAGATAGCGAGTATAATCCTCTTTTACAGGACAGGTGTTGATATGCGATAATCCAGGTGTATAATTTAATTAATTACAGATTAGCTCCACTGTTAGATTAATCGTATTTATTTCATTGTTAAATCTACACAGCTTCTCCTAGGGTGTATTTTGTAGGAGTTTGTTATGGTGTAGAATGTCTAGCTATGTGTCGTGTTATGGTGTAGAATGTCTGGCTATGTGTCGTGTTATGGTGTAGAATGTCTAGCTATGTGTCGTGTTATGGTGTAGAATGTCTGGCTGTGTGTCGTGTTATGGTGTAGAATGTCTAGCTATGTGTCGTGTTATGGTGTAGAATGTCTGGCTGTGTGTCGTGTTATGGTGTAGAATGTCTAGCTGTGTGTCGTGTTATGGTGTAGAATGTCTGGCTATGTGTCGTGTTATGGTGTAGAATGTCTAGCTATGTGTCGTGTTATGGTGTAGAATGTCTGGCTATGTGTCGTGTTATGGTGTAGAATGTCTTGCTATGTGTCGTGTTATGGTGTAGAATGTCTGTTATGCTGTGTCATGTTATGGTGTAGGGTATCTAGCTGTGTGTCGTGTTATAGTGTGGAATGTCTGGCTATGTGTCGTGTTATGGTGTAGAATGTCTATTATGTGTCGTGTTATGGTGTAGAATGTCTAGCTGTGTGTCGTGTTATGGTGTAGATGTCTGCGTGTATGTGTGTGTGTGTAGAATCTAGCTATGTGTCGTGTTATGGTGTAGAAATGTCTAGCTGTGTGTCGTGTTATGGGTAGAATGTCTTAGCTATGTGTCGTGTTATGGTGTAGAATGTCTGGCTATGTCTGTATGTGTTATGGAATGTCTGTAGATCTGTGTTGTGTCGTGTTATGGTGTAGAATGTCTTGCTATGTGTCGTGTTATGGTGTAGAATGTCTAGCTGTGTGTCGTGTTATGGTGTAGAATGTCTAGCTATGTGTCGTGTTATGGTGTAGAATGTCTGGCTATGTGTCGTGTTATGGTGTAGAATGTCTAGCTATGTGTCGTGTTATGGTGTAGAGTGTCTGGCTATGTGTCGTGTTATGGTGTAGAATGTCTGGCTATGTGTCGTGTTATGGTGTAGAGTGTCTGGCTATGTGTCGTGTTATGGTGTGGAATGTCTGGCTATGTGTCGTGTTATGGTGTAGAGTGTCTGGCTATGTGTCGTGTTATGGTGTAAAGTAAAAGTAGAATTTAAGTATTTCTTCCACCATATGAATTTTTTTTCACTTAATATAACTTTAGTTAATTTATTTTGAACATGAAAGAGATTTACTTAAAAATGTAAATCATGTCAGCAAATTCTCCCCACGTAAGAGTTGCCACACTACTGAGAGCTTCCTGGGTACAATTTTTCTCCCTATTTTTTTCTTGTTGGGGGTGTGGTTTAGGCTGGTGGCAAGAAAATATATCCGATAATTTTTTTGTCTTTGGGGATTTTTTCTTGTGGGGGATTTTAGTCTCTGTCTGTCTGTCTGTCTCTCAAGTAGCTGGTATATTAGCTACACCCCAGAGGCATCATCAGCGATTGTATCATCTCGTATCTAAATTTTTCCCCCGACCATTTTTACCGTAATTAAAAACACTGAATCCTGCCCGACAAAATAACATCCTTTACTAAAACACAATTTCTCTCATTCAGGTCATTTTCATTTTCATTATCTTTTTTATTTTTTTGCAACGTTCAGAGTAACATTGTTTTATAAAGTACATAACTCAAGTGGTAATTACTGTAGTATTTTTTAATTAATTTTCACTTTGTGTTTCAGAAATATTAAATACTGACTAATGAGTTAAGTTAATTTTAAAGTGTTTTTGTATTTTTTTTTTGCATTATTGTATTTTACTATTTTTCGTATTTTTATATATATATATTTTTTCGTATTGTGTAATTTTTTGTAACTCCCTAAGACACAGTTTAACGTAAAGGAACTTGAATGATATGCGTTTGGGGAATATTCTTCTTATTATTTTTATTTATTTCATCCAAACCTGACCAATATAATTAACAACTTTCGCGCCAATTTTATATATATATATTTTTTCATCTTTTGTTAACATACTTTTCATAACAACATTTAACTGCGTCCTGATGTGTAGCCAAACATAAACAAACTGCGAGAAGGTTGTTTACTCTGAGGGTATAATTGTATCCACTTGTCTATCCACCTGCTCGCCCTTCCACCCCTCCACCCACTCCACCCACTCCACCACCCACTCCTATGATAATTTTACCTCCTTTATAACTCTCCTAGAATATCATAGGAGTAATATTAACCTCGTATCTTAACGTATCTCTTCACTAACTCCTTACCTGATGTAAAACTCCCACTCCTAGACCTCATTCACGATAATTATGTAAAACGGAGTAATTTTTCACTTTTTTTTATTTATCTCATGCAATATGGGACAAAAAAAAGGACTAAATCGATAGTTTGTGGATATTTTCTGTATAAAAGTTTATATAAAAGTTGTGATTCAAAGTAAAGAAAAATACAATGGGTGATTTAAGGAATGGTTATGACGACTTAGGGAGGAGGAGGGTAACCTCAGCTCGTCTCGGGGCGTTGTGAGAGGTGAGGTGTATCGTAGTGAGAGGTGAGGTGTATCGTAGTGACAGGTGAGGTGTATCGTAGTGACAGGTGAGGTGTATCGTAGTGACAGGTGAGGTGTATCGTAGTGAGAGGTGAGGTGTATCGTAGTGACAGGTGAGGTGTATCGTAGTGAGAGGTGAGGTGTATCGTTGGCGAGGGTGGGGTGTATCGTAGTGACGGGTGAGGGTGTATCGTAGTGACGGGTGGGGTGTATCGTGGTGACAGGTGAGGTGTATCGTAGTGAGAGGTGAGGTGTATCGTAGTGACAGGTGAGGTGTATCGTAGTGACAGGTGAGGTGTATCGTAGTGAGAGGTGAGGTGTATCGTAGTGACAGGTGAGATATATTCATTCTCTACTTTTCGTTATTTTTCTTAGTTTAATGTAACTAAAGTTGGCCGGTATTGTCAGCTGTATTCTGGTCAACTAAGGATGTTAGTGACGGTGTGGTAGTTGTGGTAGGTATGGTAGGTGTGGTAGTTCTGGCAACACTGGGAGTTAAGTAGGTTAGTTGTACTGTGTGGTATGGTAACACTGAAATATATCTCGAGTTGGTAACACTGTCAGTCTACTGTATATATATTATTCCAGGACTACCCCCCACCACCCCCCCTGCCCCCCAAAATAGTTAATAAATAAATAAATAAATAATCCTTCACCTAAAACAAAACATTTATGTGAAAATTTAATGAAAAAGTATTGGAAGGCGATGTGTGTGTGTGTGTGTGTGTGTGTGTGTGTGTGGTCTGGAGGTAAGACTTATGACTTTATACTTGGAGGTTATTCTTACACTTACGTACCTCGGAGAAGAGGTTAAGGAGAGGCCAAACTTTTAATGGGTATCTCAAGTTGTGAGGGGGGGAGGGATTTGTGGGGAGGAGAGTAGAAAAGTTTGTAACAGTACATCATCGTCCACTAGAGCTCTTATTACCATTTATTTTACCTGTCTCACTCTTACTGCACGACAGGTAGATGTGTTTAGCGTGACATACATACATACATACATACATACATACATACATACATACATACATACATGCATCTTCAAGCATGGTATATTCAGTATATGTATGTATGTATGTATGTATGTATGTATGTATGTATGTAAGCCATCAGGGGGTCCAGGGCATCTTAGTTACCTGTTTCAGAGCCTCAACCTGTTAGCCAAGAGGGATAGGGAGGTCTATTGTACCTGTCCTCACCCCTCTCACCTGTACACCTGTAGGGAGTTCCACTAATTGTATTCGTAACGCTTACCGGGGAGTTAATAATCACCCAAATTGTAAGATCTCTCTCTCTCTCTCTCTCTCTCTCTCTCTCTCTCTCTCTCCGCCCTAATCTTAATATAATCCCACCACCAGGGAGATGAATCGACCTTAAATCTGATTATAATCCAGTGTTATCCAGGCGGGTATCACTTAACACCTCACAGCAGTAGTAGCAGTAGTAGCAGCAGTAGTAGCAGCAGTAGTAGCAGCAGTAGCAGTAGTAGCAGCAGTAGTAGCAGTAGTAGCAGTATATGACGTAGATGGTAGATGGAAATATGTGATGATGGTGATGGTAGAGAAGGGGAAATGGTCTTAGTTTATGGGAGAATGTACCAT